AGCTTTTAAAGAGTTTTTGTCATTTAGTCTCTGTATATAAGTATGGGTTTATACATTGTTTTTGTATTTCCTAATGACTTTTTTCATAGCATGCAGAAACAGCTTACAAAAATTCTGGTCAATTTCCTATTCAACAAAATCCTGTTATTTTCTTTCAGAACACAGATATACTTTATGTCTGTGTATCTGCAAATCCATGTTTACATTTCAGCTACCCAGTTTATCTCTAGTTCTGTATGTACATCTGAGTCCAACTGTCTAGATTTGTCTCCCTGTATGTTAATCAGGTACACTTAAGAATCTGAACATTCCTAAAACATACTGTTCCCCAGTTCCTTATTTCCTGTTTGTTCTGACTAGTACCTACAACGGGAGACATTCCCAAACCAGTGCCACATGGGTTTACAAGGGAAAAGAGTAAACACAAGAATTAGTAATATTTCCAGGGTTTGACCTTAACCCATCCACTAATGTCAAGTTTTGGAAATAACTAAACAAATATCTCCACTATTTTAAGTTTTAAAACAATTAAAAAGCATCTGCACATCAGTATCCAACTCACGTTTGTAGGCTGTCTCCCTGCTCATTTCTAATTCTCTCCACAAGTCCATGATCAAGGAAGGTCTATTTATACCAACTCAAGAATCCCTTTGCTCTCTCCAATGTGCACCAGTACACACTGGCCTGGCATTTTAGGCCTAGTTTTTCCTCCTCTATCAACCTTGGTCAAAGACTCCATGGGATCATATACAGCTCTGAAAAATTCCCATGCTTAAATAGCAGTATGAATCCTCTCTGGAAATACTGACATTTGTATATGCCTCTCTAAAACTCAGTTCATTAAGGAAACATTCTAATATCTATTTTCAGTTCCACCACTAAGATGACCAAGTCAAACTAGATCTTCTAGCACCTCCTTTTGTGCTGTCAAAGAATAAAATGTGATTCACCAGGATGTGAAGAGAAGAGAAAGGATAATAGCAGGTCTAGATTCCCATTCTCTCCCTCATTAAGGATACTCTGCCTCCAGGAATATCCACCAGACTTTTTGTTCCCCACGAACTCCAGTATACGATTCTCACTACCTTTAAAGGGTTAAGAGGAAAGACCTCCCAGCACCTTTCATTTCACTTTGTTCCTGGAGACCTCAAATATTAGCTGTTCAACAATGCACACTGGCCCCACCTGCACAAGTCCCCCAACCCACCAACCTTCTTCTTCTTCCCTTTCTTCAGCCACAGGGGCTCTAATTCTGTCTAGAGTGATGTGTCACAGGTGCACCAATAATACCCTGAAGGGCCCAGAGAATTTCCAACAAGCTGTGTAATTCCTTGACCTGGAGAAAACTTACTAATTAACTCAGGCCTACTGGTGACAGGGCCTCAAAGGACAGTGCAGGGGATCTCAAGCCCCAGAATGGAAGAAAATACTCATTACCTACTTCCAATCTCAAGCAATCCTGATGAATGACAGCCTGTAACTACAAAATATAGACCAGCCTTGGAAAGAAATGGGACCACACTAATCCTGGCCAACTGCAGCCCTAGTCAAAGAGGTGAAACACCTATGTAAAATAAATAGGAATACTGCAAACCCAGACCAGGTAAATGTCTAATGGAGTGAAAAATGTCAAGAACTAAAGTATTATTCGAATCTCTAAGTATAGAAGCCTGTAGTTAATCTCCCAGCATTTAAATGCCCTCTACAAAAAAATTATGTGACAATTACCTGACTACACTAATCAAACATCCCCAGTATGAATTTTCAGAAGCACAGAACTGTCAGATGATCAGAAACACTCATATATGTCTGTGTTGGCTACTGACAACAAGTTCTGGAGTGAGACTATTTCTTAACTTTTCTCTTAAGCCAAGAAGCTTCATCGGGAAACAAACCAGTAAGT